CCCCCCCCCCCCCACAAGACTTTCTTTTTCAGTTATCTTCTACAGTATTCCTTAAATTATCACTGGACAGAGAATTTAACCATCTGGTTGTACTTTAGCGATGCTAACTCTAATGCAGCATCAGTCAATACCAAGAATCGACAGTTTTTAGGATGGTGGGAATAGGGAAGAAACAGGTCTCATTATGTAGGCCTGGCTGGCCTGCAACTCAGATCTGCCTGCCTCCTGAGTGCTGGGATTAAAGGCATGTGACACCACACCATGTTAGAATCACCATTTCTTAGCTTGATTCCTCCAGAGACCAAGCCGGGACAAACATTCTCAATTCTAAAATGGAATACCAGCAGTCATTTAAATTTTTTTTGGGGGGTGGGGGTGGGGGAATGAGTTTCAAGGCAGGATTTCTCTGTTGCTTTGGAGGTTGTCCTGGAACTAGCTCTTGTAGACAGAGATCCGCCTGCCTCTGCCTCCCGAGTGCTGGGGTTTAAGGTGTGTGCCACCACCGCCTGGCAACCAGCACTCATTTGAAAGAGGACAAAAAAAGTTATGTGAAGGGATATAATTCATGTGCTTGATGAACAGTAAGAACTCAACATAGCAGCATAAGTTATGGAAAAGTTTGATTTTGATAGTGACCATCATCAATAACTGATAGGTTTCCAAAAATAGTCAATAGTAATAAATAACAATTATATACCTAATGTATCTAAGCAAAGTGGTTAATAACATTCACAAGTAGATGTAGACAAACAAGAACAATGGCTGTTAAAAGCCATCTGGGTTCTATTTGTAAGTCTGAGTAATCAATTCTAAAAGTTATAGGACATAAGTGACCAAACTTAATTCTTATTTTGAGGGGTGGTTTCAAGACAGGGTTTCTCTGTGTACCCCTTGTTGTCCTGGAACTTACTCTAAGCTACACTGGCCTCGAACTCAGGGACTAGCCTGCCTGTCTCCCAAGCGCTGGGATTGAAGGCTGGAGCTAGATTTCAAATATCAGTATAAAAATAATTTATCCGAACCAGGCACCCTGGAATACCCTGCATTCCCAGCACACTGGAAGAGGAAGGCAAGAGTAGTCAGAAAATCAAGGTCATCCTCTGCTACAAAAGAACTCCAGGACAGTCTTGGCTACAAGAGTCCCTGCCCCAAAATGGGGCATTAGGGGTTTGCTTGAGAACTATTCCCCGTGAAAGCCACTCACTCCAGATAAGATGATTGAGTGCGCCAACTGCGGCTTTTCCTTTTGCATTTCATGTACTAAAAATCCAAACCCTCAATTCCTCCCAAACAACAATCTCTACCTATTAGTAGCTTAAATCTTAAGCACCTGTTTCTCTGTTTCTTAATCTAGAAACTTACCCACCAAAAAACGCTTTCCAGTTTCAGTCTTAAATCCCTGTGCTTACTTCTTCACTGCCCCTCTCCAGTCTACAAATCAGAATTACCAGCCCAGAAGGAAAGCTGCACTAACTAGATGTGTGATGAAGTTGCAAGGCACACAAACCCTGCCCGCCCACATGTTTAATACTGCACAACTTCACTGTCTTAGTGGTTTCCTTGCCCTGAAAACGGCTGGCATGGATGGAAAGACAGACACACGACATACATTACATAACAAGGATCAACTGAAATGCTACTCCCATTTCACAGACTGGGTCCAGGGGCTGAGGACTCGCCAAGGTCACACTTCCTAGCAGGGGCCGCAGTTCTGCTGGGACACACTGCACTTTCCAGTATTCATTCAAGCTCGCGCTCCTCGGGCGGCGCTGTGTGACACTCCCCTCCTTCGCCCACCGC